GGGAGCGGCGGGGGCCGGCGGCGGGCGGGACCCCGCCTCCGCGCCGCGGCCGTCGAGCTCACGGCATGCCGGGAAGTGTAGTTCCCGGCGCCTAAGGGCGCGGCGGGGCGGAGATGGGGGCCCGGGGCCGGTTGGATAGCAGCAGCTCCGCGGGGCGCTGGTTCCCGCGGACCCGGCCAGCGCCCCACACCGCAGCCCCCGGACGCAGCCTCCCTTCAGCCCCGACGCTCCGGCCCCGCCAGGGCCGGCCGCGCAGGAGGGGGCGGGCCTCTGCGCCGTGCGGCCAATGGGGACCAAGCCCGGAGGCCGGGGCGTGGCGGCCTCCGCTCGGCGCCCCGAGTGGCGGTTGTTTCAAGATGGCGGACGTGACGGGCCCCTCCCGCCCTGGCGCCGCGGCGTTCTGGAGCCGGGACTGTATCCTTTGCCCGCCTGGCAGGGGGCGCCGGCGCCCTGCCCGGGGCGGCGGGGGGCGAGCGGTCGCGTGGGGCTGTGAGTGCGGAGGAGAGGCTCGGGGCTGTCCCCGGGGGGCGGGGACGTGCTGTCCCCTGGCTCGGGTGCTAAGTGGCCGAGGGCTTGAGTCTGTGTCCACTGGAATCCGGGTATGGGACACAGCACAGACGGTTCCCAGCCCTCACTGGCGGTGAGCTCGGGAAAGGCAGCCTCGAGTCGTGTGGCCTAGCGGGGGGCCGCGAGGGTCACGCCGCCGCCCCTCCCAGGCTGACCCCAGTCCCGGGGAAGAGTGACTGTTGACTGGACAGGAAGCCTTTCTGTTTTGATTTAGGATTGTCCTCTTGAGAACAAGTCAGGACCTTGTCGCACTTCAGAGGTTCTTCAGTGATGGTGTATTTTCGCCTTGGGGCTTTTGAAGAGATGTGGGACTTGGTTTCTCTGGGATGTGGTCTGGTGGTACTGGTTACGGCTGTGCCTGGAAGTGTTGATTTATGTGTAGATTTTGAGTCACCGTCAGGGACTGAAGTTCCTGGATTGTTTTGGGGTGGAGAAGCTGTGAAACTTTTTAGCCCTTTGATAGTATTTCCTGTTCAGTAGCAATGATGAGATGTTTGTGTGACAGGAGTGGTTCTTTCCTTGGTTTAGGTAGACTGGTCTAGCTTGGGCTTTGATCCTGATAATATAATTCTTGCTCCTTCAAGGGGTGTCACTTGAAAGAGAGAGAGGAAGTCCGTGTTACTGGGTGCCTGCAGAGGCGTCTTTAAGTCTGTTTGCTAGGACGCTTCATTGTTTGAGGCATTGCTGTTACCTTGGGCAGAAACTAGAAAATCTCTTTGGACGTTCTACTTAGCGCCTGGTGAAACTTACAACATTGTGTTATCACTTCCCCGATTGAGTTACTAGGATTAAAGTGTCGTGTGGAGAGAGATCATTTTGCGTTCTGTGCTGCTAGTGTTTATAGTGTTATGCACTTACTAAACATGATTACCATTTGTCTCTGATAGGTTGCTGAGAAGCAAATGGCACTAAGTGCATACACTGTGGGTGAAAGCACACGAGTGCAATGTGCAAATTAAATATTTTTTCCTTTATCAAAAGAGAATATGTGCACTGAGGGCCACAGGGCTGAATTAGGAAGTCAAGAAACTGGGATGAGTCTTTTGAAACACTGCCTCTGCATTGATAGGATTTTGTGCTAGAGGAGATACTTTAAGTTATTAGCTCATAGCAACCAATGGTATTGTTCCGATACGAAATAAATGAGTGGGGGGGAACAGTCTATTGCAGTTAAGTAACAAAAAGTTTATGGACTGAACCTACACGCTTGGTCTTAGCAGCCTAATGCTCTTGCTTACTCATGAAGTTAGGCCACTCCTTATTTCATGTAGAGTCATATGTATAGCCTTATCTCTTACATTCTCTCTGACTTTCAGCATTTAATGTAAAATACTCATTTTCTCATTAGTAGTGAGGAATGGAAATTGCATGGGGAAAAAATGGTGGTAATTACATCCTATAGATGTAATTCAGATGTATAAAAGGAATTGCAAGGTTACTAGTATCGCCTTTTCCCCCAACCTGTTACCATAATGACCAATTAATATCCAGCCTCAAATATTTTCATTTTAAATTTCCATGGGGCATAAAAGCAATGCCAAATGTAAATTTGTTGCTGAATATTTGCCGAAAAGCATAATGATAGTGATTAATCTTTTGGTTTAGTCATGTGTCTTTGGATCTTGATTTCTTTTTCCTGTCACATTGATGATTTCCCAGTCCACCCTACAGCCTTTATAGCAGAAATTTTTAATAGAAAAAGACCAAAAAGCATATATCTGTCATCTGGTATTCTTTTCACACTATTGTAAAAAATATTTTCAACACTTCACCTAAGCAATTACAGAAAGAATGTGATTGAGAGATTTACTAATGCTAGATGTTTCCATCATGAGAGAACATATCATCTGTGACTAAATGTCACCTTTTTATACTGTTGTTCTTGTGTGTTATGCATCTCCTACACAGTGTGATTCATCAGTGCTGTTTTATACAAGGTGTGTATTAGTACCTGATGCGAAAACAATGTGTGTGCTATGTTGTCATTTTGTGGGTTAAATCTTCCAGCAAAATATGCTCCTTCGGTTGTAAATTGTTTTCCTCCTTTATTAAAGTTCCCAGTAATGTCAGAAGAAGTTAGTGTTTCTACAGTATCTAAATTTGATGGCTTAACTGCACTCAAGTGTATTATCATTAGCAGTATTAATAAATAGATACTAACAAATACGAACTGCAAGGGACCTGGTCAAAGCATTGCAGTAGTTATAATCTCTGCTATTGAGTTTTCAAATGAAAATAGAAAAAGACTTTATGCTGATTTAAAAATAATATACCAGTTCAGAAAGTCTCTGTGATCAATAATAATTACATATACATGCATTGCTGGTAGAACTCAGTGGGCTAGAATTGAGTGAACAGTACCAAACTTATTTCCTTCAGATCTGGAAGATCTGGGGCAGAGGTGCTTCTTCCTCTACCACTTCTGCCCTGGGTTTCTTGTCTTTTTTTTTTTTTTTTTTGAGTTGGAGTCTCACTCTGTCGCCCAGACTGGAGTGCAGTGGCCGCTTCCGGCCACCGCAGCCTCAACCTGCTGGGCTCCGGCGATCCTTCCTCCTCAGCCTTCCGAGTAGCCGGAATTACAGGCGTGTGCTACCACGCCTGGCTAATATTTTGATTTTATTGTAGAGATGAGGTTTCGCTGCCCAGGCGGGTCTCGAACCCGCGGGCTCAGGCAATTCACTCACCTCAACCTCCCAAAGGCGCGGGATTACAGGCTGAGCCACCGAGCCCGGCTCTGCCCTGGGTTTCTGATAACAGTTAGCCCTCCATTTCTGTGGATGCATCCAACCATAGGTGGAAAATATTTGAGAAAAAAGAAAAATAATAAAACAATAAGATAGTACAGATTTAAAAAGATAGTTTACTATTTACATAGCATTAACATTGTTTTAGGTATTACAGACTAAAAATGACTTAAAGTATATGGGAGGATGTGCATAGGTTATATGCAAATACTGTGCCATTTTATGTAAGGGGCTGGAGCATCTATGGATTTGGGTATTCACGAGGGATCCTGGAACCAATCCCCCTCAAATATTGAGGGATGACTGTACGCTTTAACTCTGGGGATTTGGGTAGATTGGTACCAGCATTAAAGATGCATTATAACTTGCCATACTTGTCTTATTGAAGCATTTCCAAAGAAATAAAGGTAAAACTAAGGTTGTGCCTGGAACCCACTAGTATATTATATGTATCTGGTGTATAATGTGTCTCTTTGACTTTCCCATAAAACATACATTTGCTGGGAAATTCTGTTTTTGAAGAAGGTAAATATTTGGGTTCTTAAAATAATGAGATGAAGATAGATTGCATATTATTTAGAAAGGCTAGGCTGGATGGGAAAATTTTAAATATTCTTATTTTTAAAAACCTTTGCTAAAGTCAGTTTATTTCGTTTTTTTATTTAAATAAACATTTGGCATGGATGTAGCTCAAAGTAATAGGTTTTGCCTGTATATTTTGAATGAGATAAAGAAATATAACACTGAAAGTTGTTGGAAATTGCCTCATAAAATTAAATAAATGTCAATTTTATTCTTTCACAGATACCTTACAATGAGCCAGACATTCTTTTATGTTTGAGGGTACAATATTGAACAAAATGAAACAAAAATTATCACCCCCTTGGTGCTTACATTTTAGTGAGATGAGATGAGACCATGAATAAGTAAAATATATCTTCTGTCCTGTGATTATTGTTGGTAAAAAGCAGGAAAGGAGCAGGTAGTAAGGGAGTAGATAGATTACAGGAAGAGAGAGTTTGCAATTTCAACTACCTACATGGTTAGGAGGTGAAAGACAGCATCAGAAGGTGATATGTGATATTATGAGATATGACATAAGTCCTAAGGTGGTAAGGGAGTGTGAGCTATGAAGATATTTGGGGAAAGAGCTTCCTGGGTAGAAGAAATTATAAATGCAGAAACTCTGAGGTATTAAGAACTGTGAGAAAGCCAGGGAAGAGTGAAAGGAAGAGTGGAGGGAATTTGGGCAGGGAGGTAGTGGGCTGTAGGAGTCAGATCTTGAGCAGTGTAGATGCTTTTGTAGATACTTTGCTTTTAATCTAAATTAGAAGTTACATAAATATTAAAATGATCATTCTGACCACTGAAAAATTGTCTGTTGAGGGACCATGCACAGAAATGAGAGAGAGAGCGCCCACGCGCAGTTATGAGCTTATTGTGATAATCCTGGTGAGAGGAAAGTTGACTTGGATCAGGGTGATGGTGAAAAGTGATTGGACTGTAGCTAGAACCAAAAGGAGTTTCTGAATGTGAAGTATGAGAGAAAGAGGAGTCAAGGATAACCCCATGTTTTTGACCTGGGCTGCTGAAAGTGTGGAATCGCCAGTTACTGAGCTGGGGAGTGCCACTGATATGAAGATTAGGACACCGGTTTGGGGCTTTGGACATGTTGAATTTGAGATATCTTTTATGGATCAAAATGACATTGTCAGGTTTAGGGGATAGGCTCCTGCTAAAGATTAACTCGACAGAAGTCAGCATGCTGGTGGTATTTAAAAACATGAGAAAAGAATGAGATCACCAAGGGAATGAGGAGATAGAAGAGTCTAAGGAGACTGGGAAAGAGTGGTTAGAAAAGTAGGAGGAAAATTATGAGTGTGTGGGATCTTTGATGCCAAGCAAAAATAGGCAGGTTTTTTTTCTTTTTCTTTTATCTGTTTTGCCTTGAAACCAAACAAAAAAAGGAGTTTGGTCATCTATGCCAAGTGTTATCTATAGATTATAGATAATCTATAAGGGACATTGTAAGCTTGCTAAAAGTAGTTCTGCTGGATTGATGGCATCAAAAGCTTGGTTGGGTAGGTTCAAGATTAAGAGGAGAAATTGGAGACAGTGAGTGTTACATTCGTTTTTTGTGAAGTTGTGCTATAAAGGGGAGAAGTGATGAAGTAGTTGGAGGGGTATGTAGCATCAAGAGAGATTATTCTTTTACCTGAAAAAAAATTTTTTTTTTACATGTTTGGTTGCTATTGGAAAAAGTTTAGTAGGAAAAAGGATGATTCAGGAGAAGGAGGGAGAAAGACCAGACACGAAATTGTTGGGTAAAAATAAAGAATGTTTTTTTGTTGATGTAAGGATCTCATAGGCTCTAAATAGGAGCATGAACAGTTCATCCACAGTGAAAAGAGGAACTGCAGAGTATGTGAGCCTCGGTACAGGAAGCTTAGGACTTTACAGTCTGTTTTTCTTAATGAAATAGGAAACAAAGTTACTATCTGAGAGTAAAGAAGGAGGAAGTGGTATCAGGTTTGAAAAGAAAGGAGAAAGTGAAAAATACTCTGAGCATCCAAATCAAGATGAAGCCAAGTGAGGTCCCCAGGGACGGGTCTCTTCCAGCTGTGGACAGGTTCCTGCTGAATGGCCTAGTGCAGTGTAGTATGTTTTCTGGGACTCCATTTTCATAGGTCATCCTTGGAGAATACTTTGAAAATTCATCATTACTGTATTTTCTAACTGAAGACACTGCCATATGAAGTATGTCTTGTATCATTGTCTTAGATTCTGCTCCCACCCCTGATACTTTTTTCCAGGTATACATTTCAACCAGCAAATAAACATTTATTGAGCACCTCCTGTGTGTACTAGACCCCGTGCTAGTCCCAAGGGATATCTAAAAAAAGGAATCAGATTTTGATGTTAAGGAGTCTGCATAATTTCATTTTATAAGGTATTTGAGATTGGGTGGTGGCAAATTTAGAAATTCTCACTCTTCTCCCCTATTAGTTGCCATCCATTTCCTTGGAGTAGTGGATTCCAATTTTTTTTTTTTCTGTCTACTTGCCTTATGTGTCTCCTAAAGCTTTCTAAGCTCCATCCCTGATGTTTGAAGGAATTGAAAACTTAGGGGCACTAGTTATCAGCCACAGTTGTGAAGCTGTGATGGTGCATTTGCTGCTGCAGAGAGCTGTTAGAAACTGACTGGCAGCTTACTGAGATGGTAAGCACCATCTTAGTATTCTTAAATTCTTATAGGGTTCTAGACATTTCCAATCAGTAGTCCCTGAAAAGACTCTATTACTAGTGTTGACACTGAGCTGAAGTATATTGATTTTTTAAACATGTTGTTAAATCCACTCCAACCTTTTCCAAGAAGGATATAGTTAATACTTGCTTTGTCTGTTATAGAAATCTTTGAAAACATTTTATAAAAGAAGAAGAGAAAATTGGAATTTTCTAGGTCATTTGGAAAAAAATTGCTTAGATGTTTTCTTCCTGGAAAAGGAGGCTTTAAGTCTGTAATAGGAGGTTATCAAATTATAGACTTATTTGGATTTAGATACAGTTCTGAATAAAATTTTGTCTCTAGAAAGAAAGCTTTCTTATTATATTGATTCTCTTTCTGTAGCAGTGTTATGATCTTAGCCTCTAAATTCTTCCTTTTGAAATTCAAAATAGTTATCTGTCTTAAATTTCTTCTACTTTTTAAATAGTAGGGATTCTTGGGAAATTTCATGAATGTACTACAGAAGAATAAGTATTGCCCTGATGTTTGTTTGCGTGATTGACTTGCTCTCAGTATTTGTTCTTCATAGCTAAAGCCCATCTTTAAATTATTCATTCCTCATCCATAAAATGGTCACTCCCCCAATAATGATCAAACTGGAGAACTTAACTCCTGTTTATAAAAGGAAAGAAAAAAATAAAGGAAAAGGAGCCTAATAGCAGAGTGTGTATTGTACAGGGTGACCCACTTGAGAATAAGAGTGGGTAAAAGTTTCAGGGCACAAGATCTTCCAGGATTTTTACAAAACGTAGTTATGAATATAAGAGTGTTGATTTTTGCTACATTTAATTCAATTGTTTTGCTTTCTAGTTTTGTTTTTAAAAATTAGTTATAAATTCCCAGGTCAAAAGAGATGCATTATAACAGATGTACAGAACAGAAGCAGCATTTGGATATCAGATTATCTTTTATTGTGTTTTCCTTCATGTTCTCCTGCATAGTTTCTGATGAAGAGCAATCAGTAGTATATGTTCCAGGTATGATTTTCTGTGTTAAAATTTGGGAAGCTTCCTTTGCTCCTTAAGTGTTAGGAGAAAATTAAGCTATTAGGACAACTTTGCAGGCATAACTAAATAGATGCAGAACGCTGCATCAGAAGCTAAAATGTGTTTTTCACATATTTGGCTTGACCTAATTAAGGTTTGAAATACTGTCTTATCTTTGGGAGTGGTTGGGCAAATCACTTTTAAGGAATTTGTAGGATACTTTATTTGTTAAGGGTCAAGAGATTCTTTTTTTTATTTTACAAATGATAGCTTAAATTTAGTATTTTAAAGAAAAATGTGAAAACTTCATGCAAGATATATGTATATATATGTAAGAGACTCTTTAGAGTTTACTGGTTGTAATTAGATGAGTAGTAAAACAACCATTGAAGACACCCTAATTATGTGAAAAATATCTTTGATTTCCCTTATCTATGGTCTATTGTAATTTATTGGTTTTAATGTGACTTATGAACAATCACAACACATTTAAAAAATATTTTTACTTAGCTGTGTGCGGTGGTGTGCGCATGCAGTTCCAGCTACTCTGGAGACTGAAGTGGAAGAATTGTTCAAGTCCAGCCTCGGCAACTTAGGAAAACAAGTCCTAGGAGTTCAAGTCCAGCCTCGGCAACTTAGGAAGACACTCCTGTTTATAAAAGGAGTCTTTTTAAAATAAAAGATAAAAATGACATCTTTAATGCATTTCTTTCATATGTTAAGAACTTAAAATGAAGTTTATAAAGAGAATTTCTTCCCTTAGGTCCCTTAAAGTAGAGGATACCAAGGAAGAAGTTGATGAGGGGAGGGTTTAAGAAAATAAAATATAATTTCAAAATCTTCTTTAATGGAAATCCTTAGGAATTTCTACAGAAGAAAATGTCAGATCAAGACACAAGTTGATGAGTCCAAAAGCTGATGTTAGAGTTAAGACATCCAGGGTGACTGATGCTTCAATCTCCATGGAGTCTTTAAAAGGTGCAGGAGATTCAGTAGATGAACAGGTCAGTATTTTCTTATTCTTCTCTTATTCTTCAATCTTTATAAGTACTGACCAGTAAGGGTCTTTAGTAGACCAATTAGGTGATCTACAAGCATTCTAGAGGATTCCAGGACCCTTTGATAATGCTGGGTTTTATTATAAAATATGTAGATTACTCCAGAATTTTGCTCCTAAATATCTAGACTTGCTTTAAGCCTTAGCCAAGGAAATGTATTATCTTGGTGTGTCTCAAAGACCTATATTCTGATTGTGTGGTTAGTAAATCAGATTTGCAAGAATTTTTTTAAAAATTAGGCATTCTTTTTTAATTTTGTTCCTGTGAATTTATTATTTGATAGATGGACCCTTTTACATAAGAAAGATGCTTTATTAAAAGAAAATTAGCCTGCATTATTATTATTGTTTCCTTTACTTGGAAAATGAAGATTCTTACTTTTTATAGCCCAGTCATTGATTTGTCCCTTGTCTTTACTTCTTTAACATTATCTGTGCATTTCTTTGGTGCATGTTCTATCTGACCAATGTATTTTCAGTTTACTTTTGTTACATTTTTTTTCCCCAACCAGAGTTCAAGTCAGGATTTGGGATCCATGACCTGTGGACCAAATCTTCCCACTGCCTGTTCTGTAAATAAAGTTTTTTTGGAATGTAGCTATGTTCATTCTTTCATATATCCTCTATGACTGCTTTTGTATTACAATAGCAGAGTTGCTACAGAGACTGTATGCCGACAAGCCAAAATCATTTACTATCAGACCTTTTATAGAAAAACCTTTTCAATCCCTGATTTATGTTCTGGAAGACATTTCCAATACCTATTTTGTTACTAATCATTATGATTAGTAGTCTACAGGATTTATCTCTGATTGGATCAGAAGGCCCACTCTGTGTTACTTGTATTCCCCATGTGTACCTACTTTGCCATAGAGTGTCAGTGGTTGAATTTGCAAGTTCTTGTCAAAAACCAAAAATGTTTTTTCACATAATGGTTGGGTTTTTTTAATATTAAACAATAGCCTTCTTTGGAATAAGTTCATATTTTTGTCATATTGGCTATAACTCTTGGTTGGATTATTTCAGTGGCTTCTTTAGGGATTATAGTATACATCTTTAACTTATTATAACCTGTTTTAAAGTGATATTGTCCCACTTCACCTACAGTTTAAGGGCCTTCTTTTCTTTTCTTTTCTTTTCTTTTTTTTTTTGAGACAGAGTCACTCTGTTACCCTGGCTGGAGTACAGTGGCACAATCCTAACTCACTGCAGCCTCAACCTTCTGGACTCAAGCCATCCTCCTGCCTCAACCTCCTGAGTGACTGGGACTATTGGTATTCTTTGAAGCACCAAAGTTTTTAATTTTAATTGAAACAATGAAGTTCAATTTATTGTTTTGTTTCCTGTGCTTTGGTGTCATATCTAAGCAATTATTGCCTAATCCAAGGTCATAAATATTTATGCCTATATTTTCTTCTAAGAGTGTTATAGGCTTAGTTAATACATTTAGTCTTTGTTCCATTTTGGGTTAATTTTTATGTGTGGTGTGAGGCAATAACCCAACTTTATTTTTTTGCATGTGGATACCCAGTTATCCCAGTACCATTTGTTGAAAATGTTGTCCTTTCCCCTTTGATTGATTGTCTTGACATCTTTGTTGAAAATTTGTTGATGTAAGGATATATTTCTGTACTCTCTATTCTGTTGATTTATATTTTTACTTTTGAAATTGGGAAGTATAAATCCTCCAACTTGTTCTTTTTCAAGATTGTTTTACCTATTCTGGGTCCCTTCTGTTTCAATAGGGATTACAGAATCAGAAGGCATTTTATACTTTTTGATGTTATTAGAAATGCAGTTGTTTTCTTAATTTCATTTTTGAATTGTTCACTGGTAGTGTATAGAAATACAGTTGATTTTTGTGAATTGACCTTGTATCCACAACTTCGCTGAACTCACTTATTTCTAATCTTGTAGTTTATTTGTGAGTTTTTTACCAACAACTTGAACTGATTTAGAGTCTGTAGTTCTCAATGATCTGTCATAGAAACAAATAACTGAATACCACATGATCTCACTCATACGCGGACCCTGAACATTTATCGTAATACTATAAGAAAGAGATTGGCAGTAGCCAGAAACTGCTTGTAGGAGGTGGGAGGTGGGGAACATAACATCAATAAAGGTACCTGATCTCAAACCGTGCAAAGTGGGGACCAAAGGCAGGCCCAAACTTTACCTGTATGATGACCACTTGTATACCTAATCCTGAAGTGTACCCCACATCTTTAAAATAAAAATTAAAAAAAAAATTTCTCAATATAAGAGCATGTCATCTGTAAATATATATAGTATTATACATTCCTTTTGGATGTCCTTATTCCAATTTGGATGCTTTTTCTTTTAATTGCCTTTTAAAGACATTTAAAAAATACAACAAAAGTCTTTTTAAAAATCTACCTATGTAGTTACCATTTCTGGTATTTTCATTCTTTTGTGTATATCCAGATTTCCATTTGATATTTTCCATCCATCTAAGGAACATCCTTTAACATAAGGGCAGGAATGTTGGGAAAGAATTTTTTCAGCTTTTGTATGCCGGATATGTCTTTATTTCTCCTTCATTTTTGAAAGATACTTTTACTGGTTATAGATTTCTGAGTTGATAGTTTTTTTCTTTGAGTACTTTAAAGATGTTGTTGCACTATTGCCTGGCTTACATTGTTTTTTGAGAAGTCTGCTGTCATCCTTATTTTTAGTGTGTGTGTGTGTGTGTGTGTGTGTGTGTGTGTGTAAATTCTGGCTGCTTTTAAGATTTTCTCGTTATCACAGGTTTTGAACAATTTGATTATAGTATGCCTTGGAGTAATTTTTAAGATGTCTTTTATTTGGGGCTTGTTGCACTTTTTGGGCTTATGCGTTTATAGTTTCCATGTTGGAAAAAATTTTAGCCATTGTTTCTCCAGATATTTTTGTGTTTCTCTCTCCTCTTTTTTTGTGATCTCAGCTGCACAAATATTAGGCCTCTGGAAGTTATCTCTACAGCTCTCTGATCCTCTATTCTTTTTTTTAAACAATGTTTTTTTCATTCTTTATCTTCAGATAGTTTGTATTGTTATTGCTGCGTCTTCAAGTTCATTAATCTTCTTCTGCAATTTCTAATCTGCCACTAATCTCATCTAGTGTATTTTTATATGAAACAATATGGGTTTATTTCTAGAAGTTCAGTTTGGGTCTCTTGTTTATGTCTTCCAAGTCTCTACTTAACATGCTTAGTTTTCTATGTTCTTGACCATATGGAATAAGTTATAGTAACTGTTTAACGTTCTTGACTACTAATTCTATCATCCAAATCATTTATGGGTAGGCTTCAATTGTCTAGCTCATGTCATGTGATTTGCTTTTTTGTTCCATTGTATTCATGAGATTTCTTTCTTTTCCTCTGTGGACCTTCTCTTGTCACTTGAGATTTCTTTATGTTGTATATAATTATCTTTCATTTTTTTCATTAATGTCTCATTCAGGGCTTAATTCATTAGTTTAACTTAGAATATTTAATATAAATGTTGAATAGGTACTAGAGAATCAAAAAGGCAAAAAGGGAACATTAATGTATCATGAAAGTAACAACTGCAGGAAGCAACCATGATTTTGAAAACTGTGTGAACAGGCAGAATAATTTGGAATTATTAGACCTTATATGCTTGGAGGAGGGGCCTCTTAACTGGAAACTGGACCTCTGATAATGGGGCACCAGCCTGGCTGGTACTGCTAGTCCTGAGGAGGCCAGATAAAAGCTGATTCTGCAAGGGCTGAAAACAATTGCAAACTGGAATCAGCTGTTCTAGGCAGGGTGAAGACTGCAGACAGGTGAGTCTGACAGCAACAGGAAAGAAATAGGAAGGGATATGTCCTTTTTTTCTGGTCTCTATTTTTCTGTTCTCTATCTGGTTCTTTCTATTGGTTACAAGGAGCAATGACTTTTCCAGAGTCTCAGTGAAGGTACAACTAGTAGCATAACAACCAGAACCTATAGAATTTCATTGTATAAATATGCCACAGTTTTACTCTTCTCTCGTTGATAGGCATTTGTGTTTTCTGATTTTTGCTGTTAAACACAGTGCTACTAACATTTGGCCTATGTGGAAGGGTTCACTTCTGTTCTTTAACTTTCTGTGATCCACTACTGAAATGACTTTTTGTGGGTTATCAACAACTTCTTCCATTGCCAAATCCAGTGCATCCTTCCCCCAGCCCATTTGACTTTCTCTATCATTAGCACCATTGATCCCATACTCTGCTTTAAACTTTATCTTTCGTCTTTTCTCCCACAATGTTAAAAGCTGCTGATCCTCTCTTGTCCTTTCAAATGCCAATTTAAATTAAATTAAAATCAAATATAGATTTTCTTTAATTTGTAGGTAATTTTTTGAAAAGCTCATCTACAAATATTTTTCTTAACTTTAAAGTAATATATAGTTATTAAAGAAAAATTTAATACATAGAAAAATATAAAGAATGACAAGTCTAAATATCACCGATAATACCATTTAGCTGACTTTTAAATCTTTAATCTTTTCTCTGACTTGAGAGCCAGACCCACCTTTCTACCTTCCTAACATTGACATTGCCACACAATTGTCTTGCTAGCATCTTAAACTGAGCATTTTAAAAACCAAACTTACTTTGTTTTCTTACCATCTCCTTTTCACCATTTCCATTTCCTACTCTCTTTCCCACCTTTGGCTATTACTATTTGCAAGATTCACTTTAGGGGTTTATTCTTGGCTGCTTGAAGGAATTGGACTAACTTACCTTGGTGGTTGTGCAAGTGCCAAGGATCATAGTTCCTACCTTTTACATGTCACCTTGTGATTTCCTGAGTTTCATATCTTTAAAGAGCCCTCTTAATGATGCCAAGGTACTGGGGTGAACTTTTTGTAGTACAAAAGATTAGGATAGTGTGGTATTTAAGAGCACAGATTTTTGGAACCTATGTTTGAGTCCTAACTCTGCTGTTTAACTACTATCCTGGATAAGATATGTACCCTTAATGCAGAGTAGAAATAATAACCAGCTAATAGCATTGTTGAAAAAACAAAATGGAATAGTGACAAAACACTTGGAATATTCCTGGCATGAAGTAAGCACTAGATGGAAGTGTCAGCTATTACTATTATCATTCTCTGCTTAGTACCCTTTGGAGTGAACTTTGGGATATTCTGAATGCCTAGTAACTGATGCCTCTGTAGCCAACCTCAGTATATCCTTAAGCAGCTTGGGGGCTGTGGTGTAAGAAAATTTCCTCGTATTTTCCATTAGGTATTTGTTTCTGTGCCATTCATCAAGAGAAAGCTGATTCCCTAATATTCCCTTGTATTTAAGCAGGGACATCTTCTGCTTTTAAGTTCGTTTTTGGTGTTTTTTCTGCGTAACTTTCATGAAGTCCTTGGGTGGACAGTCAGTTCCTTGGCCTGTTTTTAGTTCACGGTAGGTTTCAATTGAAATAGGTACATAGTGTTCCACCAGATAAATTTCTTAGAAATTTCACTTTTCATGCTTAATAGTTTTCTTTGACTTAAAAAATTGTTTTTAGAGAAAAAAGTGTAACCAACAGATTTTTGTCTGTTTTAGAATTCCTGCAGGGGAGAAATAAAGAGTGCATCATTAAAGGACTTATGTCTTGAAGACAAAAGACGTATTGCAAACTTGATTAAAGAACTGGCCAGGTGAGACAAAACCTTATATAAAATGCACTATTATATGAGAGACAACTCTTTTTGAAACCAGAAAATTACTAATATGTTTTGATGTCTTTATATATTTGATCTTATGGGAACAAAGAGTTTTAGGAAAAAGATTCTGTGATACACACACACTCACACGAAGGTTAAAAAAGAAAGAAACATTAGAAACAAACCACTCTCCAACTTATATTTTCTTATTTATTTAATTTTCAGAATTGTTTGATGCAAATATTTGTTGCAGTCAGAATCTGTCAAGAGGGAATATTTTGAAATTAAGCTCGACTGTTGAAGCAGGTTGTAATCAGAGGCATCGCAGTTGCCTTTGGTTTTGCCTCAGCATCTGAATAGAAAATAACATTTTGTTGTAGTCTATCACAAGAATATCTGTTGTCATCTTGCTAATTCCTAATGTTTTCAAATAAAGGATTTTGAATTCTGGCAATGATAGTTCTCAGCTGTTTGGAAGTACTGTTCCAATTTCTTTTTTTTTTTTTTAAGTTGGAATCTCACTCTGTCACCTAGGCTAGAGTGCAGTGGCATGCTCATGGCCATCTCAACCTCGACCTGCTGGGCTCAGGTGATCCTTCCATTTCACCTTCCAAGTAGCTGGAACTACAGGGCTTGCTACCATACCTGGCTTATTTTTTGATTTATTGTATAGACGAGGTCTCACCAAGTTGCCCAGGCTAGTCTCGAACCCCTGAGTTTAGGCAATCCTCTCACCTTGGCCTCCCAGAGTGCTGGGATTACAGGCTTGAGCCACCGTGCCCGGCCCCCAGTTTCTTAATGATGCGAATGAGGTACATCTACTTTGTATGTATAATTTCTTTGTCAGCACACATGTCCAGTTTTGGAGTCTTAAAATTGTACTTAATCAAGATATCTATAGAGAAATGTATTAATATGTATTATAAAAGTTCGCCAGGTGCAATAGCTCACACCTATAATCCCAGCACTTTGAGAGGCTGAGATGAGAGGATTGCTTGAGACCAGGAGTTTGAGATCAGTTTGAGTAACAAAGGGAGACCCTGTCTCTTTAAAAAAAAAAAAAAAAAGTAGGCCAGGCCCGGTGGCTCAGCCTGTAATCCCAGCACTTTAGGAGGCCAAGGAGAGTGGATTGCCTGAGTCCGCGAGTTCGAGACCAGCCTAGGCAACTTGGCAAAACCTCATCTCTACAATAAAATAAAAAATAGCCGGGTGTGGTAGTACACGTCTGTAGTTCTGGCTACTTGGAAGGCTGAGGTGGAAGGAACGCTGGAGCCCAGAAGGTCGACGCTGGGGTGGCCGTGAGTGTGCGTACCACTGTACTCCAGCCTGGGCAAAGGAATGAGACTCCGACTCAAAAAAAACAAAAAAGAAAATTAGATTAGCCAGGCATGGTGGCACCTGCCTGTAGTCAGTCCTAGCTACTCAGGAGACTGAGGCAGAAGGATCACTTGAGCCTAGGAGTTTGAGGCCACAGTGAGCCATGATCATGCCACTGTACTACAGCCTAGGTTACAGAGCGAGACCCTGTCTCTTAAAACAATAGAAAAGAAAAATAGAAAGTTAAACTTAGGGAGAGGCCACACCTAAAAGTTGGCAAAATAGTACTAGTTTTAAAGTAATGTTTGTAAAATAACATTTGTAGAAGCTTCTCAAACCCCTGGACTCAGGCAAGCCTCTTGCCTCGACCTCCCAAAGTGCTGGGATTACAGGTGTGAGCCACCATGCCTGGCTGTAGAAGCTTTTTAAAAGACTGAAGTCAAACTATTTACCTTACTCTAAATCATAGAATTAGGAGCATAAAAGATGACTTAAACAATCTAAAAATTAAAAAGTTATGTTTGGGAGGCCAGAATATAGTGTGTGAGAATTCAGAGCACATGCCTTAGTCTAACTTTGATATGCTATAGGAGATAAACAGTAATCTCTTTCATTAGGATACTTTGGCTGTTCTGATTTCTAAAGTAGAGTTTTCATAACTTCCATGTTCTTTTATTGGGAAAATATTTGTTATCCTCAGTATTTGAAGATAATTTTGTCATGAGGATATTTATCACATCAAAGGCTTTGGATATCCTTACCAAATACATTCGGTGGCATTGAAAAAGCTATTACCATTAATTTGACTATATTTATTAATGGTCCTGAGTTGTCATTATTATCTTGACTGATTCATTTTATTTTGGCGACCAAGCTTGGAGAATACCAGAGGTATTAGGGTGTGTTGTTTTGGTTTTACTAGTAACTCTACTTTCTAGTAAATGCCAGTTTTTTGGTAATTTTTTTGCAGGTCAGTGTGTTAGTACAAGGTCAGCTTACACTGCTGAAGAACCTTATTATTACTGTATTTACTATTAATATACAGGTATATAGGAATCCCATGTTCTTGATTTCTTGGAATTTGCTAAGTTTCCTTTATTGGATATTTCAGTCTACTTTTTTCTACTTCTACTTGCCAAGTTATTTCCCCCCCCCTTTTTTTTGTAAGACTTTCGTTGAAATCAGGATGTAGAGGACAAAATCTCATATACTTCAAATACTGGCAACAAAACATTTTAAGTCATTATGTTCTTTTCCCTCTGAATTTTCAACCTGGTTTCAAATAACTGTTTTCCCCTTGGCATTCAGTATACTCATTTCTCTTTTAACTTAAAAAATAAAATACTTCATTGACCATATATTTCCCTCTTGGCATTACCTTCTTTGTATTCCACAATATAAGTTTGTTCCTAGAAAGAATAGTCTATAATACTATCGTCCACTCTGATGCATTTCATTCCCTCATCAATCTTACTTACTTGCTTCTCAATTTGTTTATTTATAAACATATCAAAGTGAAATTTGCATGCAATAATATGTACCATTTTAAGTGTATATTTCAATGAATTTTGACAAATGTAATATATACAACATTTTCTATTATGATAGACAACATTTACATCACTCCAAAAGGTTACCACTAAACCATTTACAGTTAATTCTCTCTTCTGTCCCCTCATCTCAGGCAGCCATTAATGTGACTTCCATGATTATAGCTTGGTTTTATATGTTCTGGCGCACCATGTAAGTGATCATGCAGTATATGCTCTTTTACTGTCTGACTTCTTTCCCTCAGCTTACCGGTTTGTGGAAGATGTGTGAAATATACATAGATAAAAATTTACCATCACAACCACTTTTATTTATTTTTGATTTTTTGATTTTTGTTTTTTTTTTTGAGTTGGAGTCTCACTCTGTCGCCCAGACTGGAATGCAGTGGCCGCTCCCAGCCACCGCAGCCTAGACCCGCTGGGCCCCGGCGATCCTTCCGCCTCAGCCTTCTGAGTAGCCGGAATTATTTAAATGCTACAATTCAGTGGCATTGAATACATTCACAATGCTATGTAACAATCTCCACCATCCATCTCCAGAACTTTTTCATCATCACAAACTGAAGCTGTGCCCATGATATGATACCTCCTCATTCTCCTCTCTCTCTTGCCCCTGGTAACTGCTGTTCTGTTTGTCTCTGTGAATTTGGCTGTTGTAGATATCTCATATAAGTGGAATCATATTTGTCCTTTAGTATCTAGCTTATTTCACAGCATGTTTTTGAGTTGTTTTCAATTTTTTGTGTGTAAGAGTAGTTCATTTTTTATTGTGGAATAGTATTTCATTGTATGGCTATACCTTTACTTGTTTATCTATTCATCTGTGAATGAACATTTGGTTTATTCCAGTTTTTGCCTTTCATGAATGAAACTTCTATATACATTCATGTACAAGTCTTTGCATGGACATTAATTATTTTTCTTCAATAAATGTTCAGTTATATGTTGTGTATATTTCACTTTTTAAGAAACTGCCAAGCTGCTTCCCGGTGTGGTTATACCATTTCACACTCCCACTAGCAACTTATGTGAGTTCCATTGTTCTGTATTCTCATCAACTCTTGATATTGTAATTTCTTTAAATTTTAGCCACACTAATGAGAATAGTACTTTCTCCTTGCAGAACTAATATATGTTTCCCCAGTGACTAATGTGATCACTGGCCATTCTTCTTTTTTGAGGTATCACTGTTACCCAGGCTGATCTTGAACTCCTGGCCTCAAGCAATCCTCCCACTTTGGCCTGCCAAAGTGCTAGAATTATAGACATGAGCCATTGTTCTTGGCCTTTAGTCAGTATCTTTATTGGTGCAATGTATGAAATAATTTTTAAAATGTCTACATAAATATAAATAAAAGTGAATGTGAATATAAGATATAAATAAAATTTATAATTTGCATAATAGATTTTGAAAAATTGATTCATTTAAACAGGTTGAAACAGTAGTGACAAGCACAGGATATTATTATTATTATTATTATTATTATTTTTTTTTTTTTTTGAGTTGGCGTCTCACTCGGTCGCCCAGACTGGAGTGCAGTGGCCACTCCCGGCCACCACAGCCTCGCCTGCTGGGCTCTGGTGATCCTTTCGCCTCAGCCTTCCTAGTAGCTGGAATTACAGGCATGAGCTGCCACGCCCGGCTGATTTTTTGATTTATTGTAGAGATGAGGTCTCGCTGCCCAGACGGGTCGCAAACTCACGGGCTCAGGCAATCCACTCACCTCAGCCTCCCAAAGGCGTGGTATTACAGGTTGAGCCACCGAGCCCGGCAGCACAGGATGTTATATGCCTCAAGATGAAAACAGATTAGAAACTTATGTTAAACACTTACTGATTAAGCCCAGTAGATTAAAAAAGAAAAAGATCCCTGGTTCATAGTTAAATTTGACCTGAATGTGAACCTACAATACTGTGTTATTTGGTAGGTAAAAATGCCTGGCATGAGTTTTCAATAATCCATGGATGCCTCCTTAATAATATATACATGCTCAGGGAACATTTTCACTTGTGCTAACTACACTTGTAAAAGAATAGGATACAAATGTGAATCACAAGGTGTAAGCCAATGGGGAACAAATACCACAAAGATAAATTGGGGATATCACAAATTAGCTTATGGAAGAA